TTTTTTATTTTCTCTTGTGTCTCGTTTCGCGTGAATATCGAATTTTGTTGTGAATGTGTGTGTGTGTGTGTGTGTGTTACTTTCGTAGCATACTTGATAATTCTTGGAAATTGCACATTGAAGGTTGGTTTTGATTGTGGATATTTCATGAATGGTCAGATAGATTGATTTCTACAGAAATTTTATTCCATTGTTAAACTTAAGCCCTCAATAAATTTTTTCTCTCGTGTCTCATTTCAAATGGAGATTGAGTTTCTTTTTATTTTTGTTGTGTGAAGGTATGTGTGTGTGTGTATTACTTTTGTAGCATACTTGATAATTCTTGGAAATTGCACGTTGAATGTTGGCATTAAGTCATTAACTATGGATAGTTCATGAATGATCAGAAAGATTGAACTTTTGGTGCCATTGTGGTTTCAATGTTACTTTTGTTAAATTTGAAAACTTGAGGAAGTCTGAACAAGATAGTCAATCAAATGTCCCCGTGTCAGTTTCTGGAGCTTATGACCAGTTGGTGATATACTTGCGTTCAACCGTTCACAGGGTTTGACTGATTCAAGAAGTTAAAGATGGAAATTAATGAAGCAATAAAAGAGAGTGATGATAGAAGGCTGAAGACAAAATACAACAATGCCGTCTATATTATACAAAGGGCTCTTGCTCTTTACTCGTATGTCCCATTTCCTTTTATCGTAAGACACTGTCATGTGTTACTAAATTTTCTGTGTCAGGTTTCATAATTAAATTACGTGGATCCTTTTAATATGTCCAGTACTAGTATCTTTGTTGCATTAATGATACTTTCATTTGAGCTTTGCAAAATTCGCAAAATTGTTTGAAAATAATTGATATTAAGAGAAAGAGATAAAGAAAAAGACAAAGGTTGTTGTTTTTTTAAGTTTAATGGAAATGTAGCATTGCCCTTTGACTCACCCAAGGGAAATTTTTTATTAAGCTAAAATAATTTTATTGACAGTGTTGACGAGCTTGCCTTAAGTTTCAATGGAGGAAAGGATTCAACTGTAAGTTGTTATTTAATACATGCACATTTTCCACAGAACAAACGTAGGATCTCTTTCGTGCAATGAATGTGCAATATATTAAGACCACGGGCTTCAATTTTTATAGGTTTTGTTGCACCTTCTTAGAGCTGGCTGTTATTTGCATGCTGTTGGAAAAAACGATCGTTCCAATTTGGATTCGGGAGAAGCTGGAAATAAATTTCCAGTAAGGACAATTTATTTTGAGAACCCAACTGTCTTTCCTGAGATCAACTCATTCACTTATGATACTGCTTCTGCGTATGTGCTCTCTCTCTCTCTCTCTCTAGTATCGAATATTGTATCTTTCAGTGTTCTTTTACTTGGATATCGATTAATGCTTAAGTTCCATTTTTCGTTTTCTTTCAATGATATTACGACCACGTGATGATTAACGCTCGTTTTTTTCTGAATTTTTGGCAGTTACAAGTTGCAGATGGACATAATTCGCCTGGATTTCAAGTCTGGCCTGGAGGCTCTTCTAAAGGCTAACCCTATTAGAGCAATTTTTCTTGGTGTCCGAATTGGTGATCCAACTGCGGTATGTGTCGTGTGTCATAATGTAGCTTCTTTCTAGTTGAATTTCGATCTCGTGCTTTAATATTTAGAAAAGGAAAATACTACACCATGAAGAAATTAATAACATTTCTTTATATGCGTACCATGATGTAGTTTTTTTCTAGTTGAATTTTGGTCTGTTTGTTTTTTGTCATAATATGCTAGGTGGGGCAAGAGCAATTCTCTCCGAGCTCACCAGGATGGCCGCCTTTCATGAGAGTGAATCCAATCTTGGATTGGTCGTACAGGTCAATTTATATATATATTTATTAAGTGCTAGATTGTCTTATATGCCTTCATTTCTTGAGTTTTAGGACATTTCGTGATATTTCGGTGTCTGCATGCCAAACTACCTTTTTATTCTTAGATAATAGTAAATGTTTACTAGGTGAGTAGATCACATTCTTTTTCTTTATCCTCGTTAAAGGAAGGTTCACTACTTATATAAGTTATAACTCTAATTTATACATTTGGCCTTTTATTAGTCACCAAGAAGAGAAAGCAGGTGTGCTTTATATTTGAGTTGGTTATTATATCCTTTACTTCATCTGTACAGAGTAAATCAAAGCAAGTTTTCCATTTTTTTTTTCTTTTGTATGGCAGAGATGTGTGGGCCTTTCTCTTGGCTTGCAAGGTTCCCTACTGCAGCCTTTACGATCAAGGGTAAAAGTCTGCTTCAAATTCCCCAAGTCTTGGCCG